AAATTCGGTGAAGATATCTCTTGAAATGACGAAGGTTACCATATAAGCACTTCATTCTGATCGTTCAGCTTATATGACAGCTCTTATACACATCTAGATGTGTATAAGAGACAGACGCAGTACCTAGCACACTAATAAATGGCTTAGACTGCCTGAAATTTGACTCACTTTCTTAAACGCGTTTTTGTCGAAACTACTTTTTACTACACGGTACCGGCATTATCTCAAGTTCTATACAACCGATTTACTTGAAATTTTGTGCGAACCTTCTTTATATAATCCTTTATCGTTACCACCAGCATCGTGTCAAAATTTTTGTTTTTAATATTTAAAAAAAAAAATTGGGAATTTAAAACAAAAAGCGTAAAAAACGATTTTTATTTTCAGGCAGTCGAAATGTTTCAAAAAAAAATTTTCGTGTTCCCTGCGGCAGGGACTACAACAGCATCCTTACTGATTAAGAATTTCTTTTGATTTTTTTTTCTCGGACCACCAGGAGAGTCAGGATCAATGTCACCAGGATGCGCAATTTTTTTACATCTGTCTCTCCCCCCTCTAATTATTTTAATTTTTAATATTTTTTGTAATTTTTTTTTTTTGTATTCTTAAGATGTCAATGAAAACACCATAAAAAATGGATAGTAAACATATCTTTTGATTTTTTTTTTTAATAAAATTCAAAAAACTGCAAAAAATATGATTTCTAGACTAGAATACTTAAGATCGACCTTATGACCTAACCTAACCTAACTACTAAAATGAAACACACATGAAACACCCGGCGCTCTCCATAATCTCAAACGAAACTGAAAAAAATGCGACCTGTAATACCTTAAAGTTTACATATTCCGGACACTTCAGTGTCCCCTCGCATTCCCTTATGCTATTTTATTATACAATTTTGTATCCACAACATTGCAACCACGTTAATTAATCATTTAACCGACAACTAAAATTAAATTTTTTCCAACGAATTGTGGCCAAAAGAACGGAGCTAAGTAACCAAAGAAAAATTAACTACAAATCATGCAAAAAAAAATWAATAAAAAGAGATTATCACGAGCAAGGCCAACTAAATTTTCAAAAGTGGTAACAACAATAACACATAAGAACAACAATAAAAACAACGCGTGCAACCACAATAACATTACGCAGAAATAATGAGCAACATAATTCTAGGTAACAGCAACAAACCGACAGTGAGCAGCCACAAATGCAGCTAGAAGAAGACTAAGTARAAGAAAGCGATAAGAAGAGTAGCACAACAAAATTGTAAAAACAAAAGCAAACCGCATGCATTGGAAATTTACAAGGAAAACAGCGAAACGCATGTATTTCAAATGAATATATGCACGTTATGGTGGTACATAATGGTTGAAAATAAAATTTTGGTTGAGCTTTTTTCGATACTTACATGATAGTGCTATAAATTTGAGCTTTCTGTGGTAAAATCATATGTTTCTGAGCGCCCACTGTTAGAGCATGCTACCGAGTTCAAAATTAAAATTTTCAAAATTGGAAAAAAAAAAATATGTGGAATCTTTAAAATATGCACCTGCGACTGTAGCAACATCTATAGTGATGATGGGAGTTAGAAAAAAAAAAGATTACAAACATAGTATTTTGCCTAAGTACCACCCTAATGTGTCAACCTGTTTACACACTTTACAAGCATCCACACACATACATACCATGCAAACGCCAGCACAGAAACTATGCATTGCGAATGAGGTCGTTCCTATCGCCATATTCGCAATGCTGCCGGGTTCACCTAAATTCGTTGCCGGCAGAAAAAAGTACAAACAAGCGACCGCCACATTTTGCAGGCAGCTAACTAACTACCGTTGCCGCCGCTTCCGACTCCATCTCCGTTGTCGCTGCCGTTGCCGTTGCCGTCGCCATTGTCGCTTTTGTTGTTGCCACTGGCAATGGGACAGTAAATAGTGGCAGTAGCAACATGAGTAACGTGCAACTTGCAACATTAGCACCACTACATTTGGCGCTGACGGCAAGTTGAGTGCGAAAAATGCGGCATATTTGATAAATTGTTGCAATTTGTCGCGTCTACTGATGTGTTGCTTTGCTCCAACTGTTGTTGTTACTTTTTTGTTGCAACAGCTATTTATTGTTGTTGTCCCTCGAGCTAGTTTATCGTGCTTCGTTTTTTTATTTCGGTTGGTTCGTTGCGCGTACGCGGTAATTAGTAATTTTCGCACATTAACACACGCACACACATACGGACACACACGCGCAATCGCGTGCGAGTAATACAGCGCAATAGTCATAGAGTTGCACTTTAAATTCAACTTTATTGCATTGTGCGCTGGCAATTTTTCACTTTCCTTTCGTATTAATTCGCTCGTCGTGGCCTTCGGAAGGACGTTGCTGAATGCTATGTTATGCTGCACTGTGCTCTGTTATGTTAGGTTATGCTCCTTTTGAGTTTGTCTTTGTCTGTTGTCCAATATATCTATTTATACCGATTCAGCCTTAATAGAGTAAGTGACAAGGCCGCGACACATTATATATTTTCGTCAGTTTATCCATATAATGGGTTTTACAATAGGTACTACAAAACGGGATATCACACGATGCCACATTTTATTCCACTCTTTTGGCACTTCTCTTCACAAAGGTACGATCCAACAATAAATTTTACTTTATTTATTAAAATTTGATGAGGAAGACCCAAATCAGCGGAAAAGGGTACGGTTTGTTGCGGTTTATGGGGCGGCGGCAACATTGGGCCGTACTTCTTCTGTGATGATCAAGACCGGCAAGTTACTGTGAATGGGAAAGCGCAAGCAATTGGTCGCCTCGATCGTGCAATTTGACTGTTAGACAATTTTCTGTGGAGCTACGTCAAGTCTATGGTCTATGCCTACAAACCAACGACGATTAACGAGCTTCTTACCCTTCACAAATACAAAAGTTTCCTTTGATCGTTAGTTAATATGGCAGATATTTGGCTCGATCAAAACAATTTACTCGGAAATTTCACCCTTGCCTTGTATAATAATCCACACAAAATTCGGTGAAGATATCTCTTGAAATGACGAAGGTTGCCATATAAGCACTTCATTCTGATCGTTCAGCTTATATGACAGCTATATGCTAAAGCAATCCGAACTAAAGAATTTCTTCGGAAAATATACTATACTCTCAATAACCGATGCCAAATTTCGTAGAGACAGGTCGTCATATAAAAAAACTTTATACATAAGCACTCGATTCCGATCATACAATTTGTATGGCTGCTAAGTATACGCTATATTGTGCCGATATCCGCCGTTCCGACAAATCACGTAAGCAAAACTTCAGATCATTATCTCAGAAACAGAGGGGCTAGTTCGCATAAATGGCAGACGAACGTGGAAAATTTACTTATCTCTTTTCTTTTGGGTGTTTAATCGTGGCAAACTTAATGTACCCAGTTTAGAGAAAACTACCGCTCGAAATAAATATCCTCTAATGAAGCCCGATGCATGGCTCATCCATCCCTACAAAGGGTCTCATAAGCACTCGAACAATATGCTTAGTTATGTTGAAAGCCACCGGAAGTTTCGGCAGCTGGAGCAGGTTAGTTGCGATCAGTGACAACAACGGAGGAGTTAGCAGATCCCTTTGAAGTTCCTGTGCCTATGTAATCAACCCTGCCTCAAAAAGTATATATCGCCTTCATGATTTTTGCAAGAAGAGTAACAAATAAAATCCTTATCTTAAAACCTACGGACCCGCAATTGACGGCTCGCTCGCTAGCGTCTGTTATCGTCGACGATTTGGACAGGAACATTGAAATTAGCTGATCCGTTAAAGCCGCTGTAACTGTGGTGAATCAACACCGTCAAATAGAGATAATTATGAAAAATAATAAAAAAAATCCAAGAAGAAAGAAAGTGCAATGGACTGCCCCTGCTCAACGTCAATTAGGTTGGGCTGGTGGCATTATCCCACCGGTGCACACCGTGTCCTTGAATTCTTAACAATAACATAACCAATGTCTGGATTGAATAGTGTGAGTTTGTTCTRGCGAGATAGCAGCCGCGATTTTTATCGGTAATCAGAATCGGTCAAGAAGTGTTCATAGACACTACGAAGATTTCGAAAAACAGGCCATGCGTCGGATGCCACCAAAGAAGATCAAAATCACCCATGAAGAGAAGACACGTAAAGCAATAACATATGAAACAGGAACGCATTAACACGAATTAATGAAGGAAACAAAAAATGGTTGGACAGAGATCAAAAGAAAAATAAAGGCGGCATACAAATATCCATCAAAGTTACAAATGAAAACGGTCTTCAGAAACTCGGCAAACACGTAGCCAAGATAAGAAAACTCCACTGTCAGTGGAGCTCAAGGATGCGCTAAAAAAGGCACTAGTGATTACACCAACGAGATAAGAAAATTCCATGAGATCCAGGAAACAATTAAAGCACTTAGCCACGAATTAATAGCAGAAAATCGCAAAACTTTCGATTATCCGCACCAAGATAAACGAACTTGTTCGTTTTGGTAAACTTTCATTCAGGATCTTTATAGGAACGGCGTACACGACACCCTCTCTGGTCTGTTGGCTGGATCCCCACTCGAAGCGAAGAAAATAATAATCTGAATTTGTTTTCTCAGCGTTTCTAGACCGTTCCAATGAACTAGAGAGGGATGGAATTGAGACTGATCTTCAACGCCGATATCCAAAGAAGTACCACAAAAARATTATGTGCGAGTAATATGAGTTTACTGCATTATAGTAACCCACATTAAGAACAAATTTAGTATATGTAAAACAGTTACTTGAAAAAACTGAAAGAATCATTCAACAATTACAAGAAGAACTGACTGGAAAGTCTTTTGCCCTGGCTTTCGACGTGGAACATCTACTATCGACCAGATTTTAACCCGTGAAAAGAAGAACGAGACACACTGTCTCTTCGCCGATTTTAAGGCCTCTTTTTCTTAACTTGACATCCCCGTAAAACAAGTCAACTGGCGTTGAGCAACACCAAAAGCTGCATCAGAATCGAGTAGGACCTCAACGAGCCTTTCGATACCAAGCGAGGTTTCAGACAAGAAGACGTCATATCGTGTGACTCGTATCAAACTATTGGAGGAGAAAATAATATGAGCTGCAGAGCGAAATAAAGAAAGTGCAATATTCTATAACAGTGTACAGTTGCTGGAGTATGCCGAYGATATTGACATCATTGACCTCGGCAAGCGCGTGTTGGTTCTGCTTTCTCCTGTCTGGAAAAGAAAGCGAATCATATGAGTTTGGTTGCGAACAAAGACCAAACTCTACAAGTTCTTCATCATTCCCGCCCTGCTACATAATGCGGAGGTATGGACAATGACAACAACTGATGAGTCGGCGTTAAGATTGTTCGGTAGAAAGGTTTTGAGGATGATGACATCTATCGTATTATCCTCATCCGAAACCCATAAACTCTTTCATGTTCTCTGATTTCAAAAATACGTTCACGTTGGTGATAATTAGTGGAAAATCYTCAAAAATGTGGTATATGATGGTATCGGTTCCGGATCGTTATAATAATTCATGCTAGATAATATATTTAATCACATAATTTAACTAATATAAAAAATGAACTGCATAAACTTATAGCAAAMGGTTAATTCTTAAGGTTTTGCAATTAAATTCAGTTTACCAAAAATCTATATATATCCTTGCTTTGATTTTTTAACACTATTTATATGCTTACTTGCTCTTTAATTTTCACTTTTCGCAACACTTTAGCCACTCATTTAATTTCGTTGTTGCACAATTTACAATTCTCGCTTGCAGTACTCAACGTGCTACTTCCACACCAAGCTTCATACGAATGTCAGACCACACAGCAGCTGCTGTTGACAACCATCAACCGATAAAAAGAGGTACAAGCGTCAATTACCAGCAAAAACCGCGAGTGTGCTCAAGTGTGAGAAGTCTTTAATCTTCACCTAGAGCCGATTGTACCCACCTTCTGCGCGAGTTTAAATTCTCTACACTTCAAAGTTAATTGAGATGTTATTCGACACTACTTTAGTTTGTATTCCCCATATACATGTTGTCAACTTCCCTCTCCCCAAGAAAGATTTGGGTTAATTACCATATGTACTTTTCTTGTCAACCATTGCGTACTCAATATAGTATATGTCACTCCGCCACAACTGTCACACACAAACTTTAGTAACAAATCTAGTCCCTCTTCCACTTCTTTGACATCTCTTATAGAACTGTTAATTTCAATATTTAATATTGACTTTCAGATACTCTATTTATTTTTACTCTTAACTTAAGTTGTCACACGCACTTACTTACCTGTACATACTGCCAGAACTGTCACAGATTGCGCTTGTCATAGTTGTGTCAACTTTTACTTGATTCTGTTTAGGCCAAAACGTCGGTAAACATATTGCATGACACAAGCCGTGCTTTTCATAACAACTGTTGTAGCATTTACATCTAAACTTTTTTAACTGCTTTTGTTGATTTTGTAATTAATAACACTCTTAATTTATTTCATTCAGAAAATTACTTACGTTTGAACTTTACTAATGATGAAGAGTTTTTAAACTGAACCATTATCCTTCAAGGCTACTCAGAATAAGAACTAAAACTTGAAGTTGTTGAAAAGTCTCCAAAAGGAGAAATGTTCTCCAGAAAAATTTCTTTTCCCTCATGCGGTGATTTAGTGTACAACCATCTTTAATGCTCCATCTTTTTGCCCACTATGTTTGAGCTCAACAAATTTACACTTGAAAGCAACATCCAAGTTTTTCAGTGGAATTTAATAGAACAACGTGTGACGATATCTGTAATGAAGCATAACTGCTTGATATTATATCCCGATTTATATCATTTTAAAGTTTTTAACTAACAAATTAATAKAATTATTGATTACTGAAAAGTGCATTTATTTGGCTGGGGTCCTACATGCACTAAAGTCACAATAAAGCCTTACCTAAATCCAACGATGAGATATTCGGTAATGATTTTTAAAAATTCAACATATTACGTACATTAAATTTGTCAAAGCTGTTGATATCCGACAATCATAGAATATAGCCGCCATAAAAATGGCAAATTTAAACACAACTCAAAAGAAGTGACATAAGAAATCTAATGGGAGTACTAACAGATCATTGTCTTATTAGCAAACATGCCAATTACGACCACTTTCAGACTTAGAAGCTTCCGCGAGACARAAGAAGATGATACTATGAATATATTCTATGCGAATACAAGGCTTTGTTTTCGAAATATCGGTCGAGAATTTCTTGACGATATCTCGGAAGTTGCACATATAAAATTTTTGTTATTGATGAACTTCGTCAGGAGCACAGGTTTCTGAAAAGGCATAATATGTAGAGTGAGAAAAGCAAAATGTACCTCCTAAAACCAGAAGCGTCATCAGACAACCGAAAAAAGTTTGTTACCGAAAATGTAAGTGATCGAAATTTCTTAAATGAACGCACTAGGAAATYCTCACACGCTTTGACTTTATACCGGATCTCTTGGATCATGGAGAACTCAAACCGTACTCTGGCGGCTCTTTCTATGCCCAAGTACCGTTGATGGAGTGGGGAGAAGCGATTGGAAAAAAGGGACAGTGAGCTTTTTATGGATTGGTCAAAGTTATTGTCGGTAGGTTGGTGGAGCCCTTTACTGCTAGAAGTTTCTAACTATTACGGTAAGGAACGGCTGACCTCAGACTATTACCGAGGCGGATAGTGAACGCCCTATGCTAAGTAGGTTAGCTGCGAATAGTAATACGCTGAGAGAAAGTAGAACTAGAGGTCGCCTTTAAATAAACTTCTACAAGCGTCCAAGGGATAACATACCACGGGAGGAAGGCAGCARAATGACGGGCGATCACACCCTGTGTACTGGGTTTTCAGTAATGGATCAGTTCTGCTGCTGAGAGCAGCATTCTGTAACCTCAGTAAGAAAGAGTGATATCTTAATTAATACCGTGGCAGGTCTTCAAGGTTCAGTTAAGAAAAAATTTCTGATATAGGTTCATATATGGCAACTCAAGAGGAGAAATGCAGGACCGCCTTCCGTAGTAGTAGTAGGATACTAAGTTCTCCTGTACTAAYCAATCCTCCAWAACAAGGAGAACRGAATAGCACCKCARCTGTYATTWCCGMAAAATCTCGGGCTASTCAAAACTCACCGAAACAAGAATATATCGATCAAATGGAAGRCGCAGAAGAGGAATAGAAAAGTGCAAGCGTATTAGCAAGAGTAACCGAGAAACTAAGTTACTGTAGAAAACGGGAAAAGGCGGGAACAATTAAGCAGATTCTCCACTACACCTAAGCAAATCACCTCCAAGAGACAAACCCTGTGGAACCTCGATAAATAGTGCGATCACGTATCGAAAAGAACGGTGAGCGGAAGAAAAGTAGTGGAAGCACTTAAAGATGCAGACAAAGACAACAAGAGAAGGATACAGCTGAAAGTTATGGAGTATAAAATAGACCCAAATTATAATCAGATTCAGTAAAGACAGCAGAAGGCAATAGCCACGTAAAGGTCCTTAAGAATATTCGATGCAAGGCAAATCTCAAAGAAGCAGATGTTAAGATTAAAGAAAGCCGTAAAACAAAAGCCGGTGCGCAACTATTACAACTGGAAAAAGGACATACTACAAAAACCAGCTTTTGCAAGGCGCTCAGGACCACCCTTCAGGAATTTGCAACCTTTACCGACCTTAAACCAAAGATATTAGAGACCTAGACTATCTTACCACAAAAGAGGATATCGCAGAAGCTATAAAAGAAGGGTTACAAGAATTGTGACGATCAACATAACGGCACATAACACAAAAGAGCAAATAAATGTGTATAAGTTAGCACCCCACACATTTAAAAAGTATCATAAGATGMATTAATATCATACGATGCAAWGCAATATAATACGACACCAACTAAATCGCTGASAGTGCGAMACRTGTAGTGGCAACCWGTGGGAAGCGCAGCGTCAGCAAACTCCATCACCGTTGCAGCGGCATACATGCGCTTAGAGTTAAGTGTAATCAATTGTAAACTTCAGTTCTTACACAGAATTCAATAAAGGAGCATAGCACCCAAATAAAGGAGCACTGCTCCCAACAAAAAGCAACATAGCTTCTGAAAAATAATTTTTAATAAAAAACTAAGACAACGTTTTTTAATTTACAATACCCTTCTTCACTAAATATTAGCTTCGATCGCAAGAGATCCAGTGAGCTCTTTGAACTGAGTGGGGCTCTTTGAACATAGCTCCCTAGTTTGGAGGTTCTAACAGGCCATTGCCCTATCGGCGTCCATGCAGTAAGATTGGGAATCTTACCTAATGCCTCAAAACTTTCTTCTTGAGTATCCCGAGTTTGGGAGTTTAAGGCTTGGGAGCGCATACATTCAGACATCAGCCCGAAATGGTGTGAATGAGAAATAAACGTCTGGGAGTCTTGCTTTTCTATGACTTCACAATGGACTACATAGTGTCTAAGTGCGATCTCTGGATCAGACCTAAGGAATAATTTGTATTTGTTAAGGATATGACAGATTCTGTGAAACCACAGTAAACGTTTTTCCTGGTTTTTTAAACACCATGCACTTTGATCTCAAAAATTTATAAAATTGATGTAGAAGTTGAGCTCGCCCTCAGATAAATAGCTTATGAAATTCCCATACTTTTTTCTCTTTTATTGCTGAACATGTCAATCAATATACATATAAAATAAAAGGTTTCAAAGAACTTGGTAGTTATTTTATTTTAGAAATGTGTTTTAAAAATCCGAATTAAAGAAGTTGGTTCATAAACTATCATCACACGCCTTTTCACAAAATGCCGACCGCCGTCCTTCTTACGTACCTGTATTCCAAACATACCCATACAAGTTTCCATATATGTAGGTATCCTACCACAATAGTTGGACACACCAATTTAGGCAACCATAAATAGTTTTGCATAATTAAAATGAGCAGTAAACACCGATATTAAATTAGGCCAGGTGACAATACCGCAACTATTCGTGCGATCCTATTGCGACACACACACATAACGCACGAGCATGTGTGCTTGCTTGCGTGTCGTTGGCCATTAATTTTTAATTGCTTTTCCAGCATTATTCGCGCAAAAATTTACCTCATGAAATATGCAACGATTATACCAAATATTTAGATAAATACGAATTTGGTTTGAATAAGGCATTAATATTAATGATAATTTTAATTGAATACCCTTTAATAAAATTAACAACGCAAATAATACGACGGACGTTAGAAAATCCGGCAATAGTAGATAACTGGCAACAATGCATGCAATTGGCTGGAGATTCAATGCAATGTGACATAATTTTGACCTAACAAAACGCACCTTAACGCCAAATGTAGCCACCCACCCATCTGGATGCCCAGGCGCACAAAGAAATGTCAGTGTTAATTTACTGTGGCCACAGTCAATCAACGTTGCAATTTGTTGCAGCAAAATATTTGCACTCTGCCACACACACACACACACACACATGATAGACATGCAGAAAGACAGACAGACACATGCACAAAAATAAACTGCGTTGTATGCAGGTGAAAGCCGCAACAATCACTGACTTTTGAATATCCCAGCATGGCTATGACTATTCGTCTGTGTGTGCGTGCGTGGCTGTGTCTCTGTGTGTGAAGGTAGTTGCCATTGCGGTTAGCCAGCCATTCAGCAGCCAACCAGTTGTCATCATTATTTGCCGACGTTGCCAGCTGACACACAGCATAACCAATGTCAAATGTCACCTACAAAAATCAACACAACAACAAAGACGCCAAATTGAAACGA